TCTGGAATGGCAAACGTAGCCTGTGCGGAACACGGTGAACACCTCGACTTATTTTAAGAGGACAACACCCCTGTCTCCTCAGAAGAGGCTACCTTCTTCCCCCTAATACAATGTACGGTAATTATACCTGTATTTGGGGTCTAAATACAGTTAAAATGACCGTATGTTGTATTCGGGGAAAAAGTTAGCTTCTTCTCTCCATCCCAGTCTTGCGGTTCTCCTTGCAATACACTTCGCAACTCTTAGACTTCGGAGAGGATGTTCTCGGACTACAACCCGAATTTTCACAGAATTGTTAACCTGCAATTCTGAACAAGAAAATTTCCCAAAGTCGAGGCACTCACATGTCATGAATGATTCCTAGCCCCCCCTGCAACTGGAGGGCTGACCCGTCACGTGGCCAATTCGGGTACTTGCAGAGACCTCTGGATTATGGCAGGGGGAGTGGTGGTTTAAGATAGGGAGGAGATGTGACGACCCTCTAGACGAAACATTGTATACATGCCATTGAGGGGGTCCGCATAGCTGGGGAGGAGGTAACAAGCACGATAAAACAATATATTAAACAAGAACTCATGGTGAATATATTCAACAAGAACTCATGGTGCTGTGGCAAAAAGTTAAAAACCAACTCGAATTGTTTCACTCGTCAAAAGACATAAAACAACCAATTTACGAATTCTTTGGGGACTGGTTGGGCATTGAGAACGGGGGCTGGATCGCATCTGTCACATGGGACGGCAGGCCCGCCCAGGAGTATTAACCAGCAAGAGTTCAGGAAAGACTACCGTATTTGCTTCAGAGACTGGACTACGGTGGGCCAGGTGATCCCGCTGCGACCATCCACAAAATTTCCCATCTGGCCATGGTGGACAGGCAATGGTATGGAGCAGATTGAGCAAGATCACAGGTCGAAGGGACATACTAAGGACGAGGCCGGTTTACGAGCAGGACATGGAAGACACCCAGGTCATATTGAACGAGCAGTACAGGGCAGGCTGGTAGCTACTCATGGGTAGCTGCTAGGGAAACGAGAGTGATCTACCGGTCTGGTGGAGGCCAAGGAGGTGGCCCCACACCCCAACGTGTGCTGATGTCAAAACACATCTATCATTAGCCATGCACAGTCAATCCCCTGGAAACAGGGCAATCAATGCTGGCAGGCCTTCTGATGTATAGTGGGACGCTGGACCTGCTTTCCAGCAGGTGCTGCTCCCGACTTATAGACCGGAACACCCAGGATTCCTGCTAGGAGGGGGTGCTCGTACCACCTCTCCTAGCAAGGACACTGGTTTGTCAAAAAAGAAGAAAAAAGTGTAGTGGAGCTGCCCTCTGCCTATCTTTTCCTTTTCTACTGTGGCCAGAAGTAAAGCTCCTGAATGTTCGAATAAAAGTTCATGGGCCCTCGCTCTACTCACCACATGCAGAGAAAAAAATGCGATGGTGTTTCTTCACATGTTTTAGCGGTTCTCATTTTGCACATTTGGTCAGTAGTGGAGCAAGTCCAATAGGACACCATTGCGCACTTAGGGCCTCGCTCCACTACTCACCAAATGTGCAAAATGAGAATGAATCAACGGAAAGATACACCACCATATTTTTGTCTTTTGTGCATGTGGTGAGTAGTGGAGCGAGGCTGGGCGTATCACTCAAGTAGCATTATACCACCCTGTGGGAGGGGGATAAGGGCATGACAGGGGAGGACAGGTGGGATAAGTATACAGCACCGGATGGCGAAGTGGGCTAGAAGGAGGGATATGGGGAAGCTGCAAGGATGAGGCGGGAGAAAACGGGGAGGAGGTCGCAGAAGGGGGCGGGGGGAAGGGGGGAGCACAGTATCTTGGGCTTTCCAGTTTTGGGCAACGCGGTATCAGAGTGGTGAGAAAGACGACATGGCACTCACGCCCTATTATAC